TTTTTTTACCAAATAGTGTTTTTCGACACCTACCTGTCGAAAATTGTCCAAATTTCGACAGGTAGGTGTCGAAATCTGGTTTTTTTTTTTTTTTTTTTTTTTTTTTTTTTTTTTTCTTTTTCGACACGTTGGGGTCGAAAATTGACCAAAAATCGACCTGTATGTGTCGAAAATTGCCGACGGGTTTCAAAAAAAAAAACTTCAAAATCGACTTCGAAGCTCAAAAAAGACATCGATACTTACCTTAATGGCTTCTCTTTCCACATATACTACCATATTATTGTCTTATAACTCCATTTTATAAGTTTTGTGAGGTTTTGATTTTTTGAATTTGGAGATGTTTTGGAGGATTTAAGAAGATGAAAAAGATAGGGTTTAATTGGGTTGTCGCGGCAGTTACGAGCACGTACGGTGGCGTTCGTCGGCGGCGGCGTCGGCGGCGGCGGCGGCGGCGGCGGCGGCGGCGGCGACGGCGGCGGTCAGGGTTGGAGAGGAGAAGAAATGGTGGAGGTTTTTTTTTTTAACAACAAAGGGTTTTTTTCTTTTTTTTTTATTTGGTTTTTGAATAGGTAATTTCTAATAAAATTTGATATAATTGATATTTTGTATGAAAGGGTGTTTTTGTAATTTTCTTTTTATTTTGGTTTTAAAGTAAGAAAAAACTTATAAATATGTACTCAATTGTGGTTTTCAACTAGGTAGTATTCAACTAAGCAAAAATTAGTATTCAAAATAGTTGCCCCCATAAATATATTACCTCTTTATATGCATGAAGAGATATTGCATGCACTAGTAGCCCATCGCATGCTTCTAAAAACAACCTATTCAACGGAGATAAATTTTGTCCGGATTCAAACAAGTCCAAGAATCGACGCCATAAGTGAAATATCTTGGCCAATGCTTCCATAGTCATTTTTATATCGGTGATAAATTCATCGAACGTTCCGTCTTTGAAGTTGAAATATTGACAGGCCACACTCTTTGGGTCGTGTGGCTCAACTCTAAACGATAATTTCGATGACCCAACGCATGTGTCGACACATACAAAAGCGTTATCGAGATCTTTTGCGATTAATGATAACGGAGAAATAATGTGCTTAATTAGTGCCTTTTTGATAGCATTTCCATCTTCTCCAATCTAGCAAAAGAAACATTATATTTATTAATTTTGGAAAATTACACTTTTCACCCCTCAAGTTTACCTCGATTTCCAAATTTGGTCCCCTTGTTCACGAAATAACAGATTTAGTCCCTCATATATAAACAACCGAACACTTTTGGTTCTTTCCGTCAATTTTCCGTTAGTACTAACGGAATCTGCGTACGGTAAATTAACGAAAATGACTAAAAGTGTTAAATTGTTGAACTATGAGGAACTAAATCTGTTTTTTATGAACACGGGGCCCGAATGTGATAGACGGAAAAGGACCAAAGCTTCAACATATATAATTAACTACTTACACATTCTTTTTGTGCCATGAGAAATACCACATGCATCGAGGGCAGCATTAGACACATGAACGACCGATATTTCTCCGTAAGCCTCTCTAACAATTTCCCTAAGCAACAATCTTGCAACAACCTTCCGATCGTGCGAACACTCCACCGCGAGAACTTTATCGAGACAAAACAACAAATCACCACCGTTTATTTCCGTCCCCTACAAATTCCCATAAAAAAACAAAAAACAAATTCCCATCAACAAAAAAATAATTTTTTTTATTAAAAAATGGAAACAAACTAAACTCGTTACCTCGACTCTCGTATCCTTTAAAGTACAATCACGGGTCTTATCGAATTCTAGTGGATTACTACTCGAAGTCACGAAGATAATAGACTTAGAGAAGTCAACACTTTCATCATTCGAAATACGAAGGAGAACCTTCGTTAGAGTATCGAAGCAATCCTTGTCTACATTGTGTAGAAGAATAACCGAATAAGGCCGTTTCGCGACTACTTCGGAAAGTCGATTCCAAAGATTTTGCTGCTGTTTATAACTACTCTTCCTCTTCGACCCTATAAAGGGGAGGCAAAAGTTATTACAGCAGTACGAGAGATAATCATCCGCGTACTCGGACATATCTATCTCCACGAGCCTGCTCGCATCGCAATACCAATGAAGCGCGACGGACTTTGCGATCTCCCTTTTACCAACTCCAGTGGGGCCCACAAGGAGGAACGATCCCCGAGGGCGGTTCGTAATTATCGGCTTCTCCGAGGCTAGAATTTTGAAAATTTCTTTAACCACTTGCTTTTGATTCACCACCCTCTTGTTTGTCATTTTAATGGCTTTTCTCTTGTAGCTGTTGATATTGGATCGGATAATCTGCGTAAACGGGACATCGGTCAGCCTGCTTATTACCTGCACACATAACATAACAACATGCCATTAATTAAGAGACGACAAAATATAATCGAGAAAATTGTACTTTTGGTCGTGTAACTTGTCATGTTTCAGTTTTACATGCAGTAACTCGGCAAATATTGTATTTTTGGTCCTATTTTGCATGATTTTTTTTTTAAATTTTATGAGGGGGCAAATAAACTTGACGGATTTTATTTATATTGGACGCTCGAAATTTATAAATTCGACATCTAACTTTGCATTGATAGAACATTGATTATGTGAGAGAGGACGAATTTAAAGACTAAGTTAGAGGAGTATCGGTAATTTTTAAGCATCGATCTACATAAATAAATTCCGGCGAGTTTGTTAGCTACACCATATTATGCAACGCCTAAAATTCAAAGTTCGAGTGAAATATGATCAAAAATGCTAATTTTCATAGTTATTGGATGTAAAATTGGAATAAAACACAGACTAAATCCCTAATCAGACCAACATACATGACCAAAATTAAGAATTTCCCGAATGTAATCACACGCACAAATCGACTAATTAATTAAGAGATAAAAAAAAAATCGTACCTCCGCCACATGACAATCCCGGACGGTCAAATTTCCCGGGAAACCATTGAATATGCTTCCTTGTATATCGACAAGAAACGTAACTGGTCGAAAATTGGGGTAAAGTTCGGGTCAAAACCAGAAGATGCAATAATACGATCCCTCAAAGATCGGATCTTTTCGGCATCTTCACAGAAAATAAAATCTTTTTCGAATCCCCATCTTATGAAGAAGCCGTTGATGTGGAACGCTGCAGAATCGCGTTCGGATTTCAATCAGTCCATCCAAAATTGGGTTTCTTCGGAGCTGTTGTTATCCCTGTAATCTGTATAGTTCGGTTAGTTCGACTAGGGTTCGGCCCAGCTCGCGTGCCTTGTCGTTGAATTGATCGATTTCGTCGCCGCAACTTGCGAAATTTTCTTGCACTAGTTTGCATGCCTCGTCCAAGATTCTTCCCACACATTTTTCTGGGGTACGGTTGTGTGTAGTTGAACAATTAGTAGTATTAGCCCAAATAATTAGGTTTTTACGTGTGCATGCATGCATGCACGCACGCACTACTTTTTTAACGAAAAAAATAAATAAAAATTAAACTAACCCGGAAAAAGTTCGGGGCGAGATCGAAAGCGGCGTCGGAAATGCAAACGCTGTGTCTCTTCTCCAGCTCCGATTTCTCTTCCTTCAGCATTTTTCTCCCAATTTTTTTTATCGATGATTCTTCTCTCTTTGTGTGTGTGTGTATGTATATATGTATGTGTGTGTGTGTAAGTGAGGTTTTGTTTTGTCAGTTGCGTGTAGAGTGGGAAGGGCTATTTTACAGTAGTCATGATTCAGATTTCAGGGTTGATTGACTTGTTCTATACCCTACAAAAAGATCACTTAAATAAATAATTAATTAATATAATTATTAAACTTTTTAAACTTTTTTTTACCAGTTATCTTATGATAATATAATTTCATTTCAAAGAGTAGGCAAAAATTCATTTTTCCCCATCTGCAAAGATTTAGATGAAAATTAAATTACTTCATTTTTTTTTATTATAATAATTATTTATTTATTTATTTATTATTATTATTATTATTATTATTATTATTATTATTATTATTATTATTATTATTATTATTATTATTATTATTATTATTATTATTATTATTATTATTTCTTCTAAGTTTTGCAATTTCTTTGTAAATCTCTCTCACACACACCCAATGTGGATTTTTTTTTATATATTTTAATCTTTTTCTCTGCCTTATTTAATTTTTTCTTATCTTGAGATAATTTAAATTTCATAACTAATTATTTTAATATTATGTAATTTATTTTTCTTAATACAATTTAATTATCATGTGTCACACCAAAAGAATCGTTAGTTTTGACCGTTGAATTAAATGCAGGAAAAGAAGAAAAAAAAAAAAAAAAAAAACCCTAGTTTCTCCTATGAGATGGCAGAGTCATTTGACTCAAAGCATGAAATATATATAAATACTTAAACACACACACACACACCAAATTGCAAATCCATCCAGCAAACTACAGATTAAGCTGAATAATGGATCTTACCCTGCGGGCGCGCGATTTGATTAAGAGCAAACGACGAAAAAAAAAAAACAAATCGGAAAAGAAAAAAGAAATACGAAATCTAATATTCTTGAAACACTACTTGATACTTCATTCATCACTTCCACTTTCAGTTTCAGTTTCGGTTTCGGTTTCAGTACTTGCACTATCGTTGGATGTTTCCAAGTCGTATTGATTCTCCGGCAAGGCCGCCTCCTCGAGCTCCTTTGCCGCCTCCTCCTCGTCTTCCGGCGGAATGTAGAAAAACAACATCGCATGGTTGTACTCTCTCCGACACACGGGACAATTAAATTTGTCGGCCTCCACAGCATACTTGACTGTTTTATCGTGGCATATGGAATGCAACAGATGGTCGCAGTCACGGAAATGCGCGATAAGATAATCTCTCGTGAATTTGAATTCGATGCGGCAGACTGCACAAGTAGGGTTCATCCTGCATTTCTCGTACGGAGTACGCGGGTTGTCGTTGTTCGCCATTTCGTTTTAACTTTTTTTCGAGAGGGCTGTTAAGTAATTAATTAATTAAATGGGGTTTGAAGTTTGAATGGTGTGTTTTGAGAGGGTTTAGTTGGGGTTTTTATAAGCAGGTCATGTAAAAACTAGTATACAAGAAAATTATATATCTCCACATTAATTAATTAATTAATTAAATAAAATCTTTTTTTGAAGTACTTTTGATTCTACTTTTTTCTATGAAATTCAACATTCATGTGTAACAAACTCCTGCAGCAATAAGTACTATTTGTTGGTATGTTGATTTAATTTTTGTCACTTTTTCAACGGATCAATTATTATAAGTACTTTCATATTCATGGAATGTGATAAATGTCGTTTCAATTTTAATAATAATCGACTTTAAACGTGATTTTGACCGTTTTCAAGTCTGAAATTGGCAAAAAGTTCAAAATGAGAAAATTGTAGTTCTTTGAGTTAGTTTTTTTTAATCAAACTCATCAAGATTTAATGTCGGGTGATAAATATGAATGCATGTTTTGAGTAATTTAAAATTCAAAATGTTATTCACTCATGCATATATAATTTTGTCACCCGATATCCAATCTAGCTAATTCAAGTTGGATTAGAAAACTAACTCAATGATTACGTACAGTTTTTCGTATTTTGAATTTTGCCAAAATCAGACTGGTCAAAATCACATTTGAAATCAACACGGTACATTTTCACTCATGCATTTATAATACGTTTGTGGAATACATATTAATCCCGATCGATTTTCAGTCAAATTTTAATTTCCAAACATTCTTTATATATATTTTTTAATGGGTGTCTAAATTTCTTGCTTCATACACTCGAAAAAGAATCGAAAACAGCAATCGGGATTTTTTCACGTCGCCACCACGTATACGCAAAAGGCGAATGTCTCATTCGTCCGGTTCAAAAGGATCGAAAAATATTATTCCATCCAACCGATATAACAATTCAGTCCTAAATAATCTTTTTCCTTCCACATCCTGCATATATACATATATATAAAAATATATAAATTGGCAACTGATTATGATATATAATAATAAAATCGACCAACATACATGACCAAAATGAAGAATTTCCCGAATACAATCACACAAATCGACTAATTAATTAAGAGATAAAAATTAAATTATACGTACCTCCATGCATGACAAGCCCGGACGGTATAATTTCTCGGGAAACGATCAATTATGCTACGTTGTATATCGACAAGCAACTGGTCGATAATTAGGGTATTGTTCGGGTGAAGGTCGTCAGAAGATGCAATAATATGATCCCTCAAAGATCGGATCTTTTCGGCATCTTTTTCACCGAAAATAAATTCTTTCTGGAAGCCCCATCTTATGAAGAAATCGTTCATGTGGAATGATGCGGAATCGCGTTCCGATTTCAGTCAATCCACCCAGAATTGGGTTTCGGAGCTGTTATTATCCCTGTGTAGTTTGATTAGGGTTCGACTTAGCTCACGTGCCTTGTCGTTGAAGTCATCGATTTCGTCCCTGCAATTTCTGAATTTTTCTTGCACTATTTTGCATGCCTCGTCTAAGATTTTTCCGACACATTTTTCTGGGGGGTTTGTGCGTTTGAACAATTAGAATTAGCCCAAATAATTAATTTGTACATGTGCATGCGCATGCATGCATGCATGCACTACGTACTTTTTTAATGAAAAAGGAAAAAAGATTAACTAACCGGCGAAATGTTCGGATTGAGTGGCGAGATCGAATGCGGCGGCGGAAATGCAAACGCCGTGTCTCTTCTCTAGCTCCGATTTCTCTTCCTTTAACATCTTTTCACCCAATTTTTTTTTTTTTTTTTTTAATTTTTTTTTTTATTTTGTTTTATCGATAATCCTTGTGTGTGTGTTTTTAGTCACCTTAGTTTTTGTTTGTTGCGTATAGAGTGGAACAGCTATTTTACTTAGTCATTTTCAGGTTTATTGACTTATTCTACCCTGCAAAAGCGCATGGCGGAGCCAGTATAGGGTTGAGGGGGCCATGACCCCCTTAACATTTCTGAAATCTCTATTAAATTGTACAAATATATAAAAGAAAAACTGTGTATAATAGGAATAACTATAACCCAGCTTAGAATGTTTTTGATGATTCGGCCCCGAAACTTAAAATCCTGGCTCCGCTAATATTCGAAGTAAATAATTTATATTTAATAATTATGATTATACAAACACATGCATATTTCAATTTACACTTTTGTGGAAATGTTCGGTCAAGAAAAGAACTCAATTGTTTAACCAAAAATATGGTACAAAATATTACTTAAATAATTAAATAATTATTAAACGTAACCGTGTTAACGTTGATAATCAGAGTACATATTTTTGTCAAGATTCGCCTGAAAATTCACCATAGGTGGTTAAGGAAGTTAAATTAATAATGGCTCCGGATGTGCTCGTACATTTATTTTTCGTTAATTAAGGTGACAAAGTACAAGTGAAAAATGCTAATAACTCTATTATATATAGGGTAAATAGTACTTCACCCCCTTAAAAAGTTTATGTTTGGCACTAAACCCCCTATTTTGTGCTTTTGCCATGGTGGGTCGCCCTTCATTTATGTTTGTAATTTTTCGTTCTATTGAATTTTCTCATTTAATCGATTAAAAAAAAAAAAAAACCTATAAATATAAAAAAGAAAACAGCCCCTCGAAAATGTGAACGTAGTTGCACCTCGCCCCGGTAACCAACATTTGAAAAAAATTACGTGTTTAGTAAGGGCAATTTTGTCATTTAAGATATAATTGTTAGTTTCTACACTTTATGCCCTTCGAAATGTTATTCTTATTACACGTTGGCCATATAACAATTAACAATAATTACCCGACCCGAATCATGCCCAAATGACTTAGAGTCCACTATAGCACACAATTTTCAAATGGTCTTAAACTATAGAATAACATTTTCATGATTCTCGGTCAAAGTCAAAGATTCTTTAATAAGGAGACGAAGAGAAACACAATCTTCGTGGATTGTTCGAATAATTAGATCAAATTAGAGACTGTGAATTATTTGCTCAAATCACATGCGCTCGTGTACAAGGCGGAGTTAGGGTTCCGGCGGGGTAATCGATGGAGGAGAATGCGGCGGTGATGCTGAACGGAGCGAAACCGAAGCTGCAGAAGAAGTACGGCGTTAGTATTTCCGCCGCCGCTGTTGATCTCGCCGTTCGCGGCCTTAAACCCTTCGCTTCCGAACTATACCCCGGTTAGTTAATTACTTTCGCTAGTGCAAATTGCTTAGGGATTTCTAATTATTCAAACGCAATTACACAAATCGTTTAGGGATTTCTATCAAATCGATGATGATATAAAATTATTAAATTAATAAAAAAAAAAAATGAACAGAAGAAGCTATTTGTTGTGTTATTAATGTGATAATATAATCTGGTCAAAAAAAAAAAAAAATTAAATCTGCGCATTCAGTTTTGCTCTTTATGAACAGCAGAAGCTATTTGTTGTGTTATTAATGTGATAATAGAATCTGTTCAAATTTTTTTTTTTAAAAAAATGTGATAATAGAATATTTCTACTCACAGAGGATGGACCTCCACAAAAATGTGTCCGAATCCTGGAGGATGCATGCAAGTTGGTGCAAACAAAATTCGGAAATTTCGGTGACGAGATTGAGTTCAATGAGAAAGTATACGAGCTGGGCCGAAGCGTTGTCGAACTAATTGAATTATACAGGGATAACAGCTTCGATAGCCGATTTTGGGTGGATCGGTTGAGGTCGGAACGTGATTCCGCTTCGATTCACATGAATGACTTTATAACCAGATGGGACTTCATCAGAAGTCCTCTCTTCGGTGATACAAGTACTGAAAATTTTCGATCTTTAAGGGACCATGCCGCTTCTTTTAACTGGACAGAAACAAATCTTAATGAAGTGGTTGGAGCGGTCGATCAGTTTCTTGTCGATACACGACGAAGCCAAGTTCTTCGTTTCAAGTCTCTCTTGACAGTCGAGGCTTGTCATGTTGCCGAGGTTCTAATTTTTATCCCTTCAAATTTTCTTTTTTAACTTAGCTTGTGTGATTTGTCATATCTCGTGTTTTTCATTCAAAATGACAGCTTCTATTATCCTGTGTTATTGTTATGTGTAGGTAATAAGCAGGCTGACTGATGTCCCGCTTACTCAGATTATCCCATCCAATATTAACAATCACAAGAAAAAAGCCATTGAAATGACGAACAAGAGGGTTGTGAATCAAGAACGCGTGGTTAATGAAATTTTTGAAATTTTAGCCTCGAAGAAGCCGATAGTTACGAAGCGCCCTAGGGGTTCGTTTCTCCTTGTGGGCCCCACTGGAGTTGGTAAAAGGGAGATTGCAAAGGCCGTTGCGCTTCATTGGTATTGTGATGCAAGCAGGCTTGTAGAGATAGATATGTCGGAATACACAGAGCCTCCAATGAAATCATCACCAACTTATGATTTATCTGAGTCGTGGTATATTCCATAGAATATTCCATAAAGACTTTTGATCCCTTTTGTATCTCTCATGCTTGTTGCAACTCTGTTTATCAACTTGATAGGTCAAAGAGCAAACATCAGCATCTGAGGAATCGTCTTAACGAAGTTGTGGCAAATCGCCCTTATTCGGTTATTCTTCTAGACAAAATCGATAAGGCTTCCTTCGATACTGTAACGAGGGTTCTCCTTCCTATTTTGAGTGATGGTAGTGCAGAAAGTGTTGACTTCTCTAAGTGTATTATTTTCATGACTTCAAGTGTGGGATCCGATCAACTTGTATCATCTTGTGCATGCTATAATCGGGATGAAGTTCGTTGGAAACGATTTTGTAGTAATCCCCTAGAATTTTATAAGAACCATGATTGTACCTTCAAGGACAGCGATCGTGCAAGAGTTCTCATCGAGGTACAAGTTTCTCCATTTGTTAAGAACTTATTTTTTTTCTGCCTTAACAATTTTGTTTACTAATGGAATTTGTAGGCGACAAAAATCATCGGTGCTGATTTGCTACTTTCACTTGATAAAATTCTTGTCGTGGGGATGTTCCACAATAAGATGGCTGTTGCAAGGCTGTTGCTCCGGGAAATTATTAGAGAGAATTATGGAGAAAGTTTGGTCGTACATGCCTCTAATGCTGCACTCGATTTGTTATTTCTCAGGGCACGGAAACAGCGTGTAAGTTGATAGAGTATATGAATTGAATCCATTAAAGTATAGGTTTCTTGATTCTGTTGTATCGTTATTTTTAGATCTCATTTCTTGTCTTTAAAGTTGTGTTTTTCTTTCTTCTCATGTTTCTTGCCAGCTTGGAGTAGGTGGAAAGGCGATCAAACAAGCACTGATTAAGTATGTTATTTCACCGTTATCAGCCGCAAACCTTCTTAGTAATGTTTTTGTATGCGTCGACACATTTGTCGGGACATCGAAACTATCATTTAGAGCTCAACCACATGGACGCAGCGCGGCTGATTTGTACTTCAAGTTCAAAGCTGGAACATTTGACATATTTATTGCCGATTTAAAGATGAAGATGGAAGCAGTGAACAAGATATTTCACTTGCGGAGTGAATTCTTTGACTTATCAGAATCTGGTCAAAGTTTATCTCCGCTGAAGGAGTTAACATTAGAAACATGCGATCGGCTATTAAGTTGCTTCATGTCTCCTACGCCACAGCTAGTATGTGTAGATAAAGAGGTAGTATTTATTTTTATTGCTCATATTTTGTTACTCGTTTTTTTTTCTTTCCCTTGTCACCTTGAGAATTGAATATTTATCTTTTTATGTGTGTATGTGTATAGGTAGCGCCATACGATCTTCCTTCAGTTGAAGAGAAGCTCAAATTCAAATCTATTTACAGATCATTAAAAAGAAAAAAAACTAGTATTGCCAAAGCCACCAGTACTATAGTAGATGTTCTTGTGGAGATGAGTGACAGTTCATTTGATTTTTCGAATTCGCCACGTCGAAATTATATGTTTGAAGGTCTGAACCAAAAGGCTAAAACAAAGCTGATTGGATGCCTAAGCGAATCACTGGGCGACTCGTTTTTCACGTATATCAAATTAGACGAGAACTACCAAGGTGGTAAGGAAGGGAAGAAGTCTCTTATTGGTAAAGTGAAGGATAATCCATGCATGGTTGTGTTGATCGATGGAGTCGAATTTGCTGATGTCAGTTTTTATAAGGGTTTGCTGAAGATCTTCGATAAAGGTATTTTGGACAATGTTGATTTCCGGAGAAGTATTATCATACTCACATCGGAGATGGGCAATAAACGTAGAATTGCTGCTGCATTTTTTAAAGATAGAAGTATTTCTATTGTGAATCAGGTATTATGAATTAGTATTACTTTTTCTTTTTCGTGTATTTTGTTTCATATTATGTATTATTATTAGTATATTTCATAATCGTTTGTGAACTTGTATACATATATTGACAGGGTGTGAAAATAACAAGATTTAGGACTGAGTTGTTATACCGGTTGGATGGAATAATGTTTTTCGATCCGGTTAAACCTGAAAACGGAGGCATTCATTGCGTGCACGGCAATAGCTACATGAAAAATTCCCAAATGCCGTTATCTACGTTTCTTTGTCGGTTGTTTGAAGCACGATTTTCCCGTAGCCCTTTACTTCCCTTTTATATTTAGAGACTTTCAGGGTTGTTAAATTTGTATATTTATATGTCTATTTTGTTTCGATGCTACACTCGATTATATTCACCGGGTGTCTCCCCTACTTCTGTAATTATTTTCATACTTAGAATATGCTGATTACTGGTGTTATTCTAAATATTAATTAATATTAATTAGAAATTGAGCTTATGTCTTATTACCATCTCAATAATATTGTATTGAGGTAATAATATTTTGTTTACATTGAGAAGTTGATTCAGTTTACTCAAAAAAAAAAAGTTGATTCAGTTATTAATGATAACTCTTTACTTTATATCCTCAATTTCGACTGTGTGTTTATTATTGTGGCGAAAAAAAGAATTACATAGTAATTACTAATTGAATTAGTTATTAAATTAACCAAATAATTAGCATTTGTATTCACTTATATATATATATATACATATAGAGATGCATGAGATATGAAATGTTTGGAACCATTTCTATTTTGTTTTCATTGATTCCCCAAAACAAAATAGGATTTATTAAACTTTTCAAATTATTTTCTCAAAACAATTTCAAAAGTTTCTCTCTCTTTCAAACCTGATGTGACTTCTACAGTAAAATGATTTGACTGCTACAGTAAAATATGTCTTCACTAAAAAACAGATAAACATCACTTCATCTTTCAATTTTTTTCTTCTAAAATACTTTCTTTTAACACCTTTAAACATGATTTAACTCCTACAATGTATTTTGTCTTCTTCCAAATTATAAACAAACATTACTTTCATTCTCAAATTCTTCGCCCAAAACATATTTCCTCAAAATAAAATCAAAATAAGTTTCAAAACGCTTCCAAACATTGCCTTTCTGTGGGTGAAAAATGAGGGAACTGGAATTAATTGGGTTAGTTGGGACAAGGTCTGCCAACCGAAAGACGAAGGAGGTCTTGGACTTCGATCATAGGTTGTTTCGAAGCATATTTTGGCGGGAAAATTGGCATGGAAGATATTCGAGGGAAATTTTTTATGGGCAAGATACCATTGGAATGATGATGACATTATTGATTGAATACCGGGTGAGAAATATATTCATGAATGCATGTTAGTAATTTAAAATTCAAAATATTATTCATTCCTCTATACGGAACATTTCAGTTCCTTAAACGACAATTATCCTCATTGGCGTAGAAACTTCTCTCATTATAAATCTCTATATAATTGACAATACGTTTGTGGAATACATATTAATCCCGATTTTCAGTCAAATTTTAATTTTCAAATATTCTATATATTTTTTTTTCACGAAAATTACCAAGACATAGATATCGTTATTATGGAGT